TTACTGCTGTCTTTCTGCCACACCCCTGATCTTCTGGTAGGAAAGATCTACACCTAGCCTTCTCGGAGGGCCCGTGTGCAAGTTGCGCACGTTAAAGATTCCTTGGTGGTCTAAAATCGATAAGAGTAGGCTTCTGCCGCCACCCGGGCAAAATTCAAAATTTCCTACCAACTGAAAATATTAGGTGTGCCCCACGCCCTCATATGACCTTTTTCAGTTCCGAGCGCCGTAAAACACTTTACAAAAACAAAAAACAAACTTGCCGACAGTCCACCACAATGATGTCATCGCGCGCAGTCACGGCCACCCCCCAGGCGCTCAGCCCGTCGTCAGTGTTACAGTCCTCCACGCGGATCTCTCCCAGCTTCTCGAACGTTCGGCAAAACTGGCGCGCTGATTCGTCAGGGTCAAAGTTCACCTTTAACCTGACCTGTAAGAAAAGAGATATAGTGGGTGGGGGAGGGGGTGGGGGTCATCTAATGTTGTTTTTTTAATTTTGTTTGTTTTGTTTTTTGTTTGGTTTTATTTTTACCTTTTTCTGTAGTTGTACTAAACACCGGTACATCTACATCGATGCTTTTCTCTAAGCCGTTTGATTACGTGCTGACATCTCGCGGCACACGAAAAGTTAATGTAGGTGTTTTACGCCCCATCGACATAAACTAGGTGATTCAAGAGGCCAGTTTTGAACCTGACTGTCAAGGTCATCTCGAACTGAGATTACTGAGAAGGATACACCATCTCATCAGAAAAGTCGGGGCACTTGATAAAAGCTCTCTCCACACGGGAATTGAACTCAGGTCTTTTGGGTGTGATGCTGACACCTCTAACCGCTACACCAGAAACGGTTGTGATAGATAAATGACAGGCGGCAGGAAGGAAAGCAAGTATTTTTTTTTTATTTCTTCATTTTAAATGTTCAACTAAGTCCCCTTTTGACACGTTTCATATCATTTAAGGGGAGACGTACACTCCCGTAAAAATGTTCTATACGAATGGTGTTTATTCACTTTCATGTAATTGTGCAAGAAGTTTATTTGTAAATCACTTTTCAAACGGCTTTTTCTGTCATTTAGGGTGGGGGGGTTTTCCTACAGTTTCGTCATTGTGACGCGATAGAACAGATCTCAAAGGATGTTTTTCTACAAATAACTAAAAATTTTGACTAATTCTATCGATATTCTCTGGGATCACCGAACCGGGTCTTCCCTTAAGAGGTGGGCTACTTCGTTCAGTTCGAATTTTACTGTTATGAAAACGTAGAGGAAGAGACAGATAGTACGGGAAAAAAGCCCTGATCTATATCAGTAGAGGACCGTTATCGTGTCAATGCGCTTCTCTTTACTCAAACTCAAAAACAGCATTACTAGAAACTCACTTCATCGTCCGTCAAGTTAGTAGAACTAGATGAAGCCGATGTGCTAGTCCCCTCCAACCGCGACACGGCGTCTTTGATGACGTGGAACACATCCAAGACCTCCACGTCACTTCCGTACTTGAGCAGCGCCTCCATGCGGTCGCCGGCGGCAGACAGAGTCTTGAGGTCGTCGGACCGGGACCCTGGTGTGTTCCTGAAGTCTCCGACCTTAGGGGATGATGTCATCAGATCAATGATGATGATGATGATGATGATGTCATCAGATCAATGATGATGATGATGATGATGATGATGATGATGATGATGATGATGATGATGATGATGATGATGATGATGATGATGAGTTGCTTTTGAGGAAGCATACCGGGCGAAATGTTGAGCCGATTCAATAAATTAAATTTTAAAGATTTTACATTAATTAAATTGGATCTTTTTTCGCTGTAAATCAAGCACGACTCTCCCCTTACTCATGATGATGATGATGATGATGATGATGATGATGATGATGATGATGATGATGATGATGATGATGATGATGATGATGACGTTGATGATGATGATGATGACGATGACGATGATGATGATGGTGATGGTGATGACGGTGATGGATATAGGCAGCAACAGACAGACCGACAGACAGACAGACAGACAGACAGACAGACAGACAGACAGACAGACAGACAGACAGACAA